AAGTTCATGTTTCTTGCAGTTTTCTGGTATCTTTGAGAATAAAAGGAACAGAATATAAAAGAAGCCCCATATCCATAAACTTTGTCCTGAAGTTTTCAAAAAATGAGCAATGATACACTTATGATCCTATCTGTAATCTTTTGTTGTTTTTTTTTAAACAAGGTCCTAATGAATACAAATAACTGTGGTGCCATACATTTTAAAGTAATTTGCTTTGAACATTCATTTGTGACTGTTCACTACATCTTCTACACTTTCCCTGAATACTCTCTACCAGCACTTACCAGCTTGTAGCTGAGGGACATCCTGAGCCAGAAGCAATGATTTTAAATTTAGGAAACCTCAGCAGATTTGTCTTTCATGAACTTGTCTGATCTTTCATTGTATTAGTGTGAACTTCTAGTATCCACAACCTCCTGTAGCAAGATGTGTCAGTGACTGGACCCCTACCCATCCCCTCCCCAGTGATCCATGCTTATGTCTGAAACAATGAGCAGAACACTTTCTAAGGAAGAGAATCCACCAGGAGTGCCTGGGCAGAGCACTTGGACAGAACATTTCTAAAGAAGACATGCTGCCACGTCTAGGAACATTAGCAAGTTGTTACTGTCTTGAGTGACTGGCACATCTGTGAGGTGGGGCATGGGTGCTGAGGGCTGGAGTTGTCTCCTCGGTGGAGAACCAGCTGCCCCCCCTCATGAAGCTAACCTGGATGCAGGGCTGTTGTGCCCCGCAAAGGTCAACCCTGAAGGTGACTTGGATGCTGGGCCCCCCACTGCAAGGAGCGGTCCAGGACTGGACCAGACCAAACTGTATAAAAGGTGAGCCCGAACTGTACTCCCTGCCGACCCATCACCACCTCATGCACAGAGTTTCTGCCTGAAACAAAAACTTCTGCCTGAAGAGAAAACACATGCTGGAACGAGGGATTGGTGATGTGTATCTCTGTCTCTCTGCCTGTGTTTGTGTGTCTCTTTCTGCCCCTCCTTCTCACTTTTCAACTCTTTCGTAATCTGTCCTCTGTCTAATTTTTTCTTCAAATAATGCCTCAGCTTTATTTGGTGCTTGCTTAATTGATAAGTGATGTGTGGTGATACTTGATAAGTGAGATTTGGTGCTTGACTCTGACTAATTGATCTGTGATGTTTTTGCAGTTGCTGAGGTAAATAAAATTGTGTAGTACTGTTTCCTTGAGTTATTGTCTGACTCCACCTATCTGGTGCTCCTTTTCGGGGAATCACAAAAAACTGCTCTCGACCATCCACTGTAGTGGGACAAGAGGTTCCTTAGCTTGAACCCAAACCACATGAGGAGTCAGCTCTTTTTCTTTTTAATCAGCATGTTTAACCAGAGACATTTGATGTCTCTGGGGTCTTGTTTTTGAAAAAACAGTAACGAACCAATCTCCTTACATCATTCCACAAACGATTTTATAAACCTTTATTCTGTCCTTCTTAAATTCTCCCAGACTGATGATGGCCAGCCTACTAAATTCACCCCAGTTTGGAAGCCACTCCATACTTCTGATCATTTTTGTTTTCTCCTGAAACTTCTTCAATTCTACTGTATTTTTCTTAAGAGATGGTCTCTTCTTCTGGTCTCTTCCAGAACTGTACACACACCCAGCATGAGCAAGAACTTTCACAGCAGCATAAGAATACTTCTTAATTTGTCTCGTATTCTTTTCCTAATAATTCCTAACAGTGTTTCCTTTTTTGATCTCTACTGAACATTTAGTTAATATTTTTACAGAAATATCTATCATTACTGTAGCATCTTATTCCTGGGCAATATTAGCCATCTCAGAGGTTATAATTTTGTATATAAAGTCACGTATCTGAGCCTCACAAATGACCATTTGGAAAAACTTATCCTTGATGATTTCGAGGTGAATCCCATGCTGCTCTAGAATGTTTTCCATCCAAAAAGATCTCATGAAGACAGAGAAATGTGACAGATAATTCTCATTTAAGCATAACAATATATATCAGTAATGCTTGTCCTCTAGTATTACAAAATTAGGGCCAGTTTCAAATTGGACTGGGTAATACATCTGAATCAATGAAATGCCAATATAAAGTTAAGCTCAACTGCAGCGCTTGGCAGTCATGCTTTTCTTTTGCCTGGCTGAGCAACTTCCTGAATCCTAATAGAGGCTCTGTAAAAAATTAAGTATATATAAAGGAACCCAAAACAGGTTCATAAAAATATATATCTATGCAAGCAGCAAAATGAGGTTGAAATATATAGTTTAAAGCATGATAAAACCCATAATGCCTTGTACAAGATGTGTGTTCAGATCACTTACCTCTCCTACTATCTCTTTTTATTTTATTGGGGTCTTCATAATCCCCCACCCAGTTATATTCTACTGGCATAGAAATAGGCCTCAGTTTCCCTGGAAACAGAGGAAAAAATTGACATCATGCACCATAAGGCAGCATTAAACTAACATTCTTTAGAAGAAAGAACAAATTATGTGCTAAGCTGCTATTCTACAGGGTTGCTTATGAAAGAGGATCCAGCATTGCCTCTGAACAAGAGATCAAGATAAGAGTTCTGTTTTCTTTAACAGACAAGAAGCAGCTAAGTATTTAATGGATATTTTTAAGTTTAGAAAATAAATCCAGTGTCCTAGAAATCATCATCGGACTGATGTTTGAGACTGACAAATGCATTCAAATTACTTTAGGTTTCACTGAAGAGTATCTATTTATTATTCTGGAAGCCCCTGGCACACACATGGAAAGAGATGTTTTAAAGCATATGTGGGTTGTTGGTAACAGAAACATGTTCACAACACTAAAGTACCTTCACAAATAGCAACTTTGCTGGTGGGCTTAAAACATCCATCAGTGACTGAATAAGAAAGGAAGCAGAAAACCTGTACATGTAATTTCTTCTGTAGCATTTTATCCACAGAAAGCAAAGTACATTACTACTGGTAAATTCACTTTGATTGCAGACAGCAAGAGACAGAAAAGCTGAAGACTATTACATCTTTCAAATTTTAATTTGGAAACTGATGAATTGATTTTTTAAAATGCTGTGAATTATAATTTCTGCTTAAGGATTACACAAATGTAGTTGGAAATTTAGTGAAAGCATGCTATGCAACTTAGTGGGGTTACTTAAAGTGGTCTGAAGTTTTTAGCAAGTTAAATAGTATACTGAAACAAAACATAGAATAGCGCAGTGTATTGCACAATATGTGGCAGACTGAAAACAAAATGTTTTCACAAGGTCAGCCTTTGCTCTTTTTTGAATCAATCTACTGATCACAAAACAGAAAAATGGCAAAGTAATTTGTTTCTTAAAAGTAGCAGAGTTTAAAGTAAAAACTTCAGAAGTCTTAGACTCATAGAATGGTTTGAGTTGGAAGGGACCTTAAAGATCATTGAGTTCCTGCCCCCCTGCCATGGGCAGGGACACCTCCCACTAGACCAGGTTGCTCAAAGCCTCATCCAGCCTGGCCTTGAACACCTCCAGGGATGGGGCATCCACAGCTTCCCTGGGCAACCTGTTCCAGTGCCTCACCACCCTCACAGTGAAAAATTTCTTCCTAATGTCTAGTCTAAATTTACCCTCTTTCAGCTTATTCCCCTTCCCCTCGTCCTATCACTACACTCCCTGATAAAGAGTGCATCCCCATCTCTCCTGTAGGCCCCTTTCAGGTACTGGTAGACTTGTTAATTATTTTAGTAGAAAACCCCTATATAAAGGTGATTGGTCTTATTCAGCACTTCTGAGGTTAAATCCATGATACACCAAAAAAGAAAGATGTGTTTATAATGAAAATAAATATTCAAATATGTCTGTCTACCTATTGAAGTATGGCATCCATGGGAAATAAAATTGTAAAAGGTTGTAATGTCTTTTTAAAAAATTGGCAAAAAAAGGTGTATGTTCTGTACAGACCACAGGAGCAGGTCACAAATACATCATTGCTCTGGAAATACAACATATATATTTAACTTTCTATTTATCATTTATTTTACTATTTATGGACACTTATTTAAGTCTGATAGAAGCCGGTGAGATTTAAAGCACACAGCTAAGAAGACATTTCCTGAGTGAGGATGAATTTGGCTCATGTTTGCTTGATCAGAAGTAACTTTCAAGGGGTACTTTGTCTAGAAATACATCTTTCTCTTCTTTGTGAGGCTGAACTCATAGTGTCTTATTAAAAGGATCTGCACACTTAAATGATACAAAAGCTACAAAATCATGTCAAGTCTCATTGTCATCAAAAGGTACAGCCATAATAAATTTTCTACAACAGTGCATGTTTTTTGTATCTGGCAGTAAAACTACTATGACCAAATTTATTTCTTTCCTTAAGTTTCATTTGCCTGCTAATCTCCTTGTTAACCCCTGTGGATTCCCTAAATCTGTCTTCCTTTTCCTGACTGATTACACTCAGGAAAATTTCTTCCTTGGGATGTGAACAAAAGCTTTCCAAGGCCAATTAGCAACAATTACACAACAGCTGGATGCCAGTAAGAGCATGAAAGAGAACTCTCTCTGTGTTAACATTGTCAAAAAATGTAAAAAAGATTCCAATAAAAAAAATTATGGAGGGCCCTGTTAACCTCTCACGAAGGAGGTCTGAGAAATATTAAAAAAAAAATTAATGCCACCACACAATTAATGATGAGCACATTTTGAATACAATTACTCCTCTAGGCCCTGGAACTCTGACCTTCTTTAATAGGTCACCATAAGCCAGAAGAGTGTTATTGTCATCTTCCAGATTTCTGTGAAATCGTAGGGTCATGCCTAGCCACAAATCTTATGTTAACAAATACCATGTGGGAAACTTCAGAATTTAATGCTGAAATGGTAATATTTTTAGAAAATATATTTAAATAAAAATGAATTCTGTGGCGGTAATTCCTTAAAAAAGAAGTGATATCAAAAGTAAAAGGCTGTATAACACCTGTTAAACAATGACTGATCTTCAGTACAGTCTTTGATCCATGTATTTAGAACTCTTTCTGCTAACAGAATAAAAGCTATCGTGTAACAAAATAATGGACTCAGCAGTTCTTGAACAAGAAATGCATTCTTATTCACTCTAGACAATTACTATTAAAATTTAACATCTGGAACAGAGAGTACATCTCTGTTAATGGAACTGACTGCATCCACCAATTGCAATAGCTGAAATACAAGAGTAGTAAAATTGATATATCCACTTTGAACACTGAGCAGTTATTTTGTACACTATGGGCATGATTAGAAAACCTGAGAACACTTTGAAACCAAAAGGATATTGAGGATGTGGCAGCAGGATTGTGTGGTTGTGTAGAAAAGGTGTATTTTATAAAAACACATCCTTTAATGCTGTGCAAATACATTGCTCCATGTCCTGAGGATACTTTACACAGCTCAAGCTCAATTTAAATCAAGGTTCCCAGGTGATCTTGGAACTTGGCTGCATGAGGTACCAAATCTATGCTTCCTCATAAATTAAATCTGTCTTCTCAAAGGGATACGATGTCAGGATAACTATAACAACTCCAACATACAGCTTGTGCTCAGTGTAAAAACTGAAATAACATAACAACAATAGCAGTCAAAATATCTTTTTTAAACATGAGATTTTCTCTTAATTTTCTTCCATATCCTAACAACTCAATGACTGCACAATTTTATACTTGGCAACAGAAAACTAATTCTCCTAGTCCAAAACTGAAACAAGTTAGAATATCAGCTAAAGGGTGAGTTTCAACAGATTTAAAGGGAAAACAACCTGGAGCATAAAGGTTTGAGGAGTAAAATTCTCATCTGCAATCGTTTTGGAGTTCTCACCCTAAATAAGTCAAAATCCAAGATATGGAAGTAGCATGAATACACGTGTGTGCTTACATGCAAAATTCCTTCTAAGAAAACTTAAAACCTCAAATAAAGAAGAGCTGCTGTATGTAGGAAGTCATTGCTCCACATACAGGAAGTTACAGGAGGTTAATACAGTATTACACAAAATGCATACCATCATCAGTCATACTTCATTTCTGAGACTAGAGAAAAATTAAAGAGTTTTAGAGAGCAGTGCAGCACGAAAGCAGCATGTCATCTCTTGGCAAATCTGAAGTGGTTTTGATCTTTAAAATTATTGTACCCGGGAAACTTTTTCTAATGATGAATTTCTAAACCTATGTAACTCTTGCCCTTTTACTGGGAGCACAATCACATCCTGTATTTTTAGCATAAATAAATGGGCTTCTGTATCTTTTTTTCTGACAAAATGATACTGAAACATAATCTGGAAAATTAAGTTGATAACAAAATTCTAGAACTTGTACTCAGAAAAACCACCAATACAAAACTGCAGTTGACCTACTTACCTCCCTATCATAGGAAGCAATTAATTTTTCTTGCACAGAATAAGCCCTTTGGTTGAAACTGGACTAAAGTAGTACAGAACTCTTAGCAAAATCAATGACAGTGAAGATATCTTCATGCTAAATACAAAAGCAGATGCACAAAATTCCTAAAATCAACAAATGGTGATTATCCTTATTAGATCAATGCCATACCATATGTCGGTGTGCTCTCTCTCCTTCCAGGACCACTTGTTCTTCCTTTCTCATATTCATAGCAGTATAAAACTGCATCTTCTTCAACCACATTAAAGCGTTTCCTATATTCCTGGTCAAGAAATGAGTTTGGAGATTCGGATCCTGTATGAACCGGCTTGCCCACTATATGTCTGCCAACATCATCACATGGGAGGTTTCCCTTTTCATCCCTTCAGCAAACAAGAGAGTTTTTTAATACATCGATATAACACTTTGATTTTTTTCTTACTGTGAATATTTCAATAAACATGGGAATATGTCAGTATTTCATATACGCAGGAAATAGATGCCATCAACCAACATCAGGATCACATATCTCTTATGCATATATGTATGCATTTGTTATCTCACACATCTCTGCTTATTTGCTTCTTTTACAGCATTTATCTATCATATTGGTTTCTCTTGAAAAAAATCAGACAAATAAAGCTGATGTGAAGCTACTTCTTCTCCTTGGTTTTCTTTGAATTTACTTAGCATTTAGTGATTTAGGGCAAGGAAATAATGTTGACTTCTCTATACTTGCATTTTTTAATGCATCAGATAATTTTAAGACATGGCTACATGGCAAGCATAGACAAATGCAGTCTGGATCCTTACAAACTAACCCCAAAGCAAGAAGAAGCAGGGACCAATGAGGTACAGACATTTGACATAGTGCTGCACGAGCCAATTCAGGCCTCAAAATTATATAGGTATATCCATGCAGTACTAAATAGGGTGTGTAGCAGCTGATCATGACCTGCTATCCCAGGACAGCAATGCATTGCAAGGTATGCGCTTTGTAGTTTGTGCAGAGATCCCACAGATGATTGCTTTTTCCTTCCTCGTGCCCTGCCCCAGTCTCTGAAAATGCAAACTACTTAAAGGCATCAAACAAGACAGCGAGCTATGCCTGGGGTAGGAGCCCTCTCCTTGCACTAGATGAAGCATGCCTCTGTAAACCTGTCAGCAGGACTGTGCCTGGAGATGGCTGCAAAAGACCTAATCAGACAGCATTTTGTGGGCAGGAAAATGAGTGTGAGGCAGCAAAGAGAGAAGCTGGGGCATCATGCTCTTACAGTGCTTCTGTCCCTCTGGATTGCAGTGTGAGTGACAAGATGGGTACCACACTGACCCATACTTTCCTTGGCACACTGAGACTCTGCCTGAGGATGAAGCAAAGCTCCCTTGTGGGATCCAGGCAGCCAGAGAGGATGAGAAAGGGCCATCTTGCCTTGGCTGTGACACTGCAGCACTGCAATCCCCTGCTGACCACTACACTCACTTTGCCAGGCTGGTTTCTGGGAGCAGGGATGGTATTGGCTGAGCAAGGGGAGCTGGCCCAGTTGAGGGGAACTGTGAGCTCCTCTCCAGTCATAGAAAGGCTTTCTGTGGTGACAGTGCTGGGGGACCACGGTAAGTAACACGACGAAGACTGATGTGAAACAGCAGGATGCTAATCCGTGCTGCAGCTACCATCAGGGGCTGGCACAAGGGAGCCTCTAAGAGAAGGAAGGCAGCCTGGGCTGGAGGGATCTTTACGGCAAATATGGATAGAAGCCACCAGGCAAACACCCTTTGCCACAGTCCTCTGGAGATGACGACTTCAGTTTTCACCCTCAAAGGTATTCAACAAATTTGAGCAGGCACTAACTTACGACCAGCACTTTTATGTAACCAGCACACAGAAAGCATCCATCCCTCTTTCTCACGCCACCCGTGTGCAGTTATATCGGCAGCTGTACTACCTGTGGGTATCATCACCAAGGCGGCATGGCTTCAGGCTTTCACAATTTACATCAAAATATCATGTCTTTTACTCTATTCCAGTAACAACAGGAGTGTTTGTCTTTTTTTTTTTTTTTTTCCCTTGGAACATCAACAACAAACCGAGAAACAGATGCTGAACTGTTTGATAATACCCAAAATAAAGACATGCTTAAATACACTTAATCACAGACAAAAAAACCTGATGAAATGCCAAAACAGATTATTCAGAAACACTGTACACTATGTGACAGGTTTGTGAAATAAAGTACAGTCCATTAGGATTTAGTTGATAAAAAAAATATTTAAATGTACATAGCTTAATCTCTCTGTAAGATTACAGCTTGTACTAATATGCATTATAAGATTTAATCAGAATCCATCCAAACTACTGCATTATCATCATGATTTAAGAAATGTTATTAATAAACAATCAAAATGCATTTTGAAGATCTTGATTTCTAGAATACAACTCAAAAACTGCTAGAGCAGCGAATATTCACTAAAAATACTTCAAAAAAGAGGATGCATCTCTTATCAAATAGAAGTATTTTTGTGGTGGTAAACATGATCAGTAGCAGTACAAAGGCACTATTTCTTTTAAGGCAGTACATTTTCAGTTTTAGAAGCAACAGGTCTCTACCATATAACTACTGCATTCAAAGAAAAACCTAAGACTACATTTTTGTTGGGGTTTCTTTTTGCAGCTTTTTACATTAATGGCTTGGAATTCAATAATTGATTTTTTCTGTGGATTTTCTGAAAACCATGTCCTTAAAATATTTTCATACATATAACAAAATACTCTTATCAGAGAGATGAAAGACAGCTTCAATCCCTATGAACAATTAAAGTGTCATGACTGACAATGTTATTTAACTAGAGGAAAAAAAAATCAGTGAACTAGACTGTGTATTCTGTTTGTCTCTTTGTCACTTTAAGACAGATACTAGAGTAATTGTGCTAGCAAATTCAACTGTGTTGTATGTGTCACATTTGAAATAAAATTACAATATTTTTTTTTCAAGAAGTAAAAACCAAGCCAGGCAACAGACAAGGCAGAGATGAGGAAGGAACATGGGACTTGGCCTATGGCTTCACAAAAGGCTTGTGACACCATCTAAACCATGAAGTGGAAAGTCACTCTTTTGCCCTGGAAAGTTCTTCATATCTCTGAAGAGTAAGAATTTATCATAGAATCACAACTTCTCCTCCCCACTAGGCAATTTAATTTGCCATATACCTCACTCTTCGATAACCCCGGAAAGTCTTCTCAGTATCAGGTCATACACCTTATTAATTGTCTAGAAGAGTTACTGACAAGAAAGTCTAAGAAAAACTCAGGTACAAGAAAGGACATGCTGCCCCTGCCACCCTTCCAAGAAAGTTAACTAAAAGAAAAGCCAGAAGTAATTTAAAAATACATGGACTGGGTGAATACACACACACATACATGATAGCCTGTGTCTAAGAATATGGAAGCTTTAAAAATACTGATTCCTCTTAAATACATTCTTAGACCTCTTGGTAGCTACTTCCATATTACTTATAGGCCATAATTCTATCATAATTTTAGGAAAGTAACATCTGTGTACATTATGGAATTATACTGAATCATTTGAGGTCATGTGAGGGTACAGTGATGAATCTGCAAGGAGGATCTGCTGCTTTTCTGGCTCAGCAAGCCCAGAGACCTGGGAGAAATGAAAATGTCTGTTCCAGGTGGCAGGTGGGAGCAGCAGATATATTTACAGGGAACAGCAAGATCACTGCAGAATCTAGTAGAGGTGGCCACATTAAAACACAATCCTGAACTTTGCTCTAACACTATAAAATCAAATATATCTAAAAAAGAAAACACTATGGCAGAACAAAACAGGGCTCTTGTTGAAATCGAAAGTTTGTCACTTTCAGATCAGTCTCCTTTATTGCATCATGGTTACTAGGCAAGGGGACAGATACAAACTCTTTTCCTAGTTAGAGATGCAGGGTTTCAGATAATTTTTGATCTTCTGGGGTAGGATGAGACTGTTACAGACAATAACTTATCCCATATTTGAGAAAATAGGGTACTGAACCTTCTTTTCTAAAGGCTACTATCTGTTTTGCAGAGAAGACACTGATGTAGACCATTGTGGGTCTGGTTCAGCATATCTACCCTAATAACCAGTTCACCTGCAAAATGAAGTACTATCAGACTAATCCCACAGGGCAGGCAGTAAACGGGTAGGAACAGAATGGTCAGTTACTTTACAAATATTTTTGACATTGAGATGTACCTCAAATTATCTTTTTTACCTTGGAACATAAGGTTCTGTTGGAGGAGGGGGTATGTAGAGATCTTGAAGGGCAGAGCTGTCTCTTTTTGTAGGTGTGCTGATAGTGCTGGATGGTGTAGCAACACTGCTTGTAGGACTTCTAGGAATAAGAGGCTAGTTCAAAAGAGGGAGAAAAATAATTAAGATTATCCTTATATAGTATAAATTTTTATTTGAAAAAGCTATAAACATTCTATGGTTTAGAAAGTTAAAGAAGTAGTTAACAGTTCTAATGTTTTGTGTGCTTTTAAACTGTCTGAAAAAAAACACTCATGCTAAGGAGACATATCTACAAATGGACATGTATTGTATGGACATCACCAAGTCCATAAAAATAGTAATCAGTAGAGCTACTGGTGAAATCTTAATGAGTAAATAACATAAAGAATCCAGTGAATTCCTTAATTAACATTGCAAAGAAAAAGCCTAGTGTTTACAGTAAAAGGTGCATTAAAGTAGGCATTAAATTGAATGTCATCTCCCCCCATCTGCTCTACAGCTTAAGAATTTACAGTTATAAAAGCTTTGGTTTATGTCTGCAGATGCTGTAAAATCAGGTACTGTGTCCTCAGAGCACACGTGCTATGAGACAGTATAAACTGGAGATTATTATTATTATTATTATTATTCACTCCCCTGGGCACACTCCTCAGAACATAATATTTACTCACAAGTAAATAAATTGTACCCTCCTTGCAGCATAATAATGTATCCCAGCTATCATTACAGTCCAAATAAGGTCCTTCCTCTTAATCATCTCTCTCTTTCTCTCCTATGAATTAGGGACCCCTTTTTCTTCCTCAACTATCTTGTCTAGCTGTATAATGACCAACCATTTGAAGACATTATTAAATCACTGTAGGGCAAGTAATTATCGCAAGATTTTCTAACAGTCTCTATACAGATGCAGAAAAATGAGAAGAAAACTTCTATTGCTTTAGTCTATGTAATAACATGCCTGCCTAATAGTAAAAGCCTCATGTTGGTTGGCTTGTGTGATAGCTAAACTCAAGTAGAAGAAAAATGGCAAAACAGCAAGTACAACAGAATCTTAATATACTCTAAAAATAATCTAATATTAAACAAATGCTGAGTTTTGCTTCGGAAGAGTTCTTTCTCCTTCATCTTTTTGTAAGTGAACTCCTTGAAGAAGTGCTGGGACTAAAGAGTGTTCACCTACCTATAACTTCTGACCTAAATAACTACTGGAGGACACAAACATTTCACATTGCATTTACAGCAGAGAAGCTCTAAATACTGACTGAAGAGGGGTGGGTAGAAGGATCCTTCTGCCAGCGCTATTAAGAATACTTTATGACAGACCAACATTTTTTATAATAAGTTCTCATTTTCTAGATATTAATCCTGACACTACAGCATTACACCTATACTGCAGAAAACCCCAACAGCAGGAACTTTTTTAAAAATGTTGGCCTTTCATAAGCTAGTGATGAGCCATTCGAATTTATGCTTATCAAGCAAAGCCCCCACCATTGCGCTACTTATTTTCAATCTGTATGTAAGAATAATGCGTGCCACCTAGGAAACTTCAGACATCAGACATCCTATAGCCAGTTGCTGCCTTGTTTCAGCAACAGGGCTGTGTTAGATGTTATTTATCTCAAACATAATAAAATGTATGCTTAAAATTTTCCTGTTAAAACTTTCCTAGTCCTCATAACAAATAGTATAAAGACACAAATTTTCTCTTTTTGAATGTTAGAAAACTATATCCTGTAAACAATGATCCTGTTAAATTCTTTTCTTGCTCATTAGAGTTAATGTGAGTGTTCTGTAGCCTGGCCAATGAAAGACTGCCAGTATTTACAGGAAGAGAGGGAGAAAGACACACACACAAAACCAGACAGGTAAAAGACTTTACAACCACTAACAACAAGAAGACAGAAGTCTGCAAAAATACGAATAAAGTTGGTTGCAAAATTGGGTAAAAAACAAAAACAACTAAAAAAGAACCCTCTTTCAGAGAAACAAAAATCTTACCCTTTAAATTTTCATCTGTGACATTCTAGCCATAGATATTCTTGAACCACTTACTAATGCAACACTGGTTATTTCCTTTCTGATACGTTGCACTTTTATGACAAGTACACTTTGTGGCATGCTGAGTAGCTTAGGAGAATTAATTTTCATTCTAAGCTAAAAGAATTTTGTGACCTAGACCCTGGTACACTTGTTAAGCTCAGGCTGTCGTTTATGGCTCATACTGGCAGGAACACTGAGAGGAAGACAAGTTGGGCAGATGGATTTGCTCTTCTCCACTTTGAGGAAGAAGACTACCCTTTACTTTTCCTGAATGGATAAGCAGATAAGAGGAAAGGGGGCCCTAGAATCTAGACTGGTGGCAATCAATAGGAGTTAATGGTTTCTGTCACATAAGGAAAACCATACTCAAGAATAACAGCAATCTGGACTTAAAACGGGTTGATGAGCCTCTGGTGGTCCTGACTGGCTGCTGGAGGGCTACAGGACACAAGTAAAGAATTTCCATTGTGTTACAACCTGGAATACCTGGGCTTAACCATTATATGTTACTGATATGGGCTTAATTTCTGAAAAAACAATTTTGCTGAAGTCTGAGGATTCTGTTGGGTAACTTCACACATCACCAGTTCCTGATAATACACAGCCCAGACATACAGGTCAGTTTGTCCTCCAGAACAGTTTGCTGGAAGATGCTGAAAATCCGTTAGGGTTTGCGCATCTTTGACAAATGCATATTTTGGTTTATCTTTTGGCTCAGCAAGGTGGTTAAAACAGTGAGTGTCACATGAACAAATGGCATTCAGCCTACCACAGAAAAAACACAAGTTATCCAGCTACCTGTTGATAAAAGGTTTCCCTCAAACTGTTCCCCTGTTAGACACTTTCAGAGGCAAAATTACAGGGTAATTGGTGAGAGTCTGAATAACTGTGGTATCTCACAGGATGGCAATGGAGGTAGGCCTTCCCAGGGCACCTGGAGCTTCCAAGAGGATAGAAAACATAACACAATATAGTACAAGTGGAAGTACAATCCTGTAGGATTGTCCCAAAACATACCAGGATGTCTCATATCTTTTCCATATTTGGGTCATATTGCCAAAGTCAACTCTCCAGCTTATTTCCACAAAGCCAGAAAAGTTGTGTAACTGGAAAAAGGGTAGAAAACCAAATTTAGAAACAGGGAACCCCTTTTTTTTTTCTGAAATACATTCATCACCACTCCGCCAGCTAAATCAATAAGCTCTTTCGAAAGAACTGCTATGTAGTAAAAGCATTCAAATGGTATCTCCTGGTAGTAGCTCAACACACTGAAAGCATTGCAGTAACTACCACCTTGTACTGAAGGAGTTCAGCTTTCATTTTATAAGGAATTAAAAATCTTCAGGCCCTCCTGGTTAAAAAGAGAGCCTTCAGAACATGGCCTGCAAGAATGGTACATCTACACAGCAATGTGCCTTGCAATTTAGAGAGACCTCAACCATTCAGTTTGCGTCAATTTGTGCACCTGCAAGTAAATCAGCTCATGTAGCTCTTTAGTTCCATGGCAGCCATTCAGTGGACCATATTGTAACATGCAGGCACATTGAAAAGAAAAACACATTGAACTCCATACAACTATTTCTGAATTGGATGCCTTGGAGATCAGTGTTATCACTGAGTTAATTCTTTTCCAAGGACTAGAGCTTTTTCCTGCTGCAGTCCCTTTTGGTAGGCTGGCCAGGGCAAGTGGGATTGCTGAAACAGCAATAAAACTAAAAAGTTTTCAGGTCCAAAGCGTTAAATACTTCACGAATAGGAACAGCCTGACAGAGAAAGTTTAGAAGTTACATATTAAAACTGGAATAGCCTCAAAAATGTCCTACAAAAGACTCTGCATCAATCTTAATCTGCAATGATGAGACAAAATCCATATTTCAATACATTTTGGAGTACTATTTCTCAAACATTTTGGATGCACCATCTCCTTCAGCTTCATTAGTCTTTATGGACCCTTTCCCAAATGGCCAGCTGGCCAGGGAACAGATAACCAAACATCTCTACTTACAGCAGCTCAGTTTCTCTCACCCAGGGAAATAAGAACTCCCTGTAAGAACTGACTGATAACACATAGATGCTTACTCCCCTCTCCTCCAGAAGCTGCTCTGTGCCTGGTTAGCTCTGCCCTGTGGTCTCTACCTCCCTCTTGCTACACCAGTACTTGTTGCTGCTTTTCCCACCCCCAATCCTGAAGGAACTGAGAGGGTTATCCCAGTAAGTCAGCATATTATATTTCCTTTTTCTCTCTAAACAATGAATGCAATTAATATTTAATATATACTATCTAAAATTCTTTTTAATGTTTTTAAAAACTCTTTGAGCCTTTCATTAACTCCCTTGGCAGCTGCAATATATAGTTTGAGAAACATTGCTCCAGAAAGACATACAATTTTTAAAAATATAAGCAAAACCAATACAAAATCCTAAGTGGTAATATCTTTATACAGGATTTGCATCAGTAAACAGATTGTACTGCTAACAGGTTTTTCATACTGACCAAGGTTATGACAATTTATTGAACAGAATGTTTCCAAAAAACCAAACTTTTAATGAGACCAACCACAACATGAAGTAATGAAATACTATAATTCATTCACACTCTGTAGGAAAACCCAGTCAGAATCCCTTTTAATAGCGCTGCAAAGAATGCCCAGTTCCCATGTAGTTAAAAGACAACTAAGCAACTGAAGAGTCAACAAGTTAGCATTTTATTCAGATTTAATGACTAAAAGGTTTAAGGTCATTAATTCTAATAATAAACAATGAAAACAGAATATCACATTTTCTCTAGATGAATGAAGGAGGCAATATGATCACGTAAGGAAAAATACTAAATAAAAATAGAAAAGTAGCATTTGCTCTCAAATCAAGGACTGTTGTTATTGTTGCTGTTGCTTCTTAGGAGGCTGAAAAGCTGAATATATAATAGTGGAGAGATGATGCATATCTAATCCAAAATAAAGCTTGTTTAAAAAACTACAAATACTGAGCTTTTGGTCATTTTATAACAGTACAATTTAATCACATACAAACAGTACAGTGAACCATTTTACATATACAAAAGGTGACATTTA